GTGTATCTGCCCTTCTGTTTTGGAAAGCGTCAAATGATTTTACAATGCATTTTTGCAGAGGGGAGCAAAGTAGCCAATCACAGACATGTTTGTTGATTTCTACAACGCAATGGCCAATCAGATGTGTTTAGGTTGGAATCCAGGCACTCACCGCTTTTTGTCCGGTGCTGAGTTCTATCATGCTCGTAAACTTCATTTAAAAAGTTTCAATGTGGTCACATTCATTGGTTAAAATGGAACTTTGTGAGATCGTGATGAATGAGTGACAGTTTTTAATAAATTTAAAGGGAGCGTTCTTTCCATGCTGTAGCCTATATGATAATATATTCAGAATTTAAATAAAACGTGTGTTTTTCATGCTTGACAAGCGGCCACGTACGACAAAGAGATAGTAAAACTACTACACTATATAGAAAAAGATAATAGCCTAATTTCAGAAGCACAAAGTGATGTGATTCTGCAACCGAGCCTGGTCCAAACGCAGGATTTAGGTAAGGAAACGGTTATTAATTATTTGTATTGGCTGCCATGCCAAATCATGCACCTGCTTGCTTTTCTATTTAATATAAGTGTTTTTGTGAACGTATATGCTTTAATAACAAATAATTGTAACATTTTACAATAGGGTTCCATTAGTTAATGTTAGTTCATGTATTAAAGTGTTAGTTAATTATTGTAAAGTGTTACCCAAATAATGTATTTTGAGCGTTCACTTGAAACTAAGCGCAAGTTTTCATTTTCGGGTGAATTATTCCTTTATCAGGCAGGCTACAAACCAGCGTGGACAGACCAAATTGGCTTGGAAAACAACGATAATGAAATAGAGTCTGGTAAATGGCAGAAAGAGCTGAGACAGCGTGGTTAGTCCAAAGAAAGATGGATGGATCTCAAGCATAGCACAGTGATGGATAGAGAGTAGGAGGTAGAAACAAACTCCTCCAGAGATTTCACAACACACTGTGCACCTGCACCTCCCACTCATCTCTCATTCTCTCCCTCTCTCTCTATCTCTTTCACTACTCCTTAGTTTTTTACATGCAACGCCGTGATCTGCCATCTCTGACAAAAGTCAGTCTTGCTTATTTTTTGCCTCAGTCTCACTTCTGTGAGCATAAGATGTCAAGCTTCAGTTATTCGTACTACCACAGAATCCGAGCCCTAAATCTATGTCTTCCACTGTCACTCAAAAGTTCCACTGCAGTGACCTCTTTTCATTACCAGCATGGCATGGGGCGCATCGGCACGCCAACCATATTGCCCTCCCCCCATCTGCAGTCTCATTGTGTTAAACATCAAAACTTTCCTCCTGCGGTCATTATCACAGATGTGCTCAAAAGGCAAAGTCTGAGCCCCACTTGAGCAGCCACGGATGCAGAAAGTCTCAAATTTTGTATTTTGACCACTCTTAAACTGTAAACCAGTTGCCATAGTAACAACCATCCTAGAAATGGGATCAGTCTCAAGTTGAACTCATTTATTTATTTATATATTTATGATTTTTTTTTGGGAATGACAGGCTGCTGTGATTGCGCAGCCTATAATTTGAGGGCTGCTTGTTTTGATGGCATGTATTTTAGATTTTTATTTTATTAGAAAAATAACACGTTAAATCAGATGTTGAGCAGTACACTGTGTGTGTACACTACTGTGTCCATAACCAAATTCATTAAGGTTTCAGCAATCGTTTGTGTCCTTGGTCATGTGTGAGTGATCATTTTGTGGTGTAATTCATCTGTCGGAGTAATTCTCTTGTTGGACACAAAAACTTGGCTGTGTGCGGGACTGCAGAATCACACATACACGATGACTCACGTGTACATCATACTCATCTTTATTGTCCTGTCTTGCTAGATCAATACCTTATTACACTTCAGAAGGACAAGTCATACCCCTGTTCCACCAAAATGATGCCAGCGCTCGGTTGGTTGCATCTGTGAATCTCTCTTAAAATTTTGTCTTTTATATTTATTAGTATTTATAAAAATATATGCTGTTTAATAAACATAATATATAAGAAAAGCCTGGCACCCTGTCGGTGGAAAAGGGGTCACAGTGGATCTCAGTGTGCCCTGCTCCAGTAAATACTTTAAATTTTTGGCCTGTTGATTAAAGAATGCGTTTCATTCTGTTTTTGTCTTCCCATCATAGATCTGTCAATCATTCAAGGCCCCAAGAAAACACCTGAGTAGGTGGAGCATGGCCAGTAGGAGTGGCTGGCGTTACTATGCCTGAAGGCACGTGGCGATGGTGTCCATAGAGACAGATGGCAGCTTCACTGGGGGCCACGGTTTGTCCCTCTTACAGGCTGAAGATAGCTTGGGGGCCGGACTCGCTCAGCAGGAGGGGTCGTGGCTCGGCTTCCGGGCTACGGTGAGTGCTGTGCTGCTGCTGGAGCTGCTCCTGGGAGTGGGTGGCAATCTGACCGTGCTGGTGTTATACTGTGGTCACTGCAGCCTGTTGGAGTCCGTCAGTCATGCCGTCACGCTCAGCCTGCACACCCTTGACCTGCTGCTCTGTCTCCTCTGCCTGCCAATCACTGCCACGCTCCTCATTCTGGGCGGAGCCTCGGTTCCTCACCACGCCCTTCTCTGCTGTCTCCATGAATCGGCAGCCAGCTTCGCCAGTGTGGGCACCGCACTTAACCTGCTGCTCATCAGCTTAGATCGCTATGACATCAGCGTCCGGCCAGCCAATCGCCTGCTGACACCTCGAAGAGCCACCATTTTACTTGTTGGAGTATGGGCGGTTTCTTTAGCCGTGCCGCTCCTACCATTCGTGGAGGCGGGGTTTGTTTCGGGGCAAGGCGCGGGGGTGTTTGTGCACTCCAATAGCACTGTGCTTTGTTCAGAGTGGGGAGGAACTCTACAGGCTCATCTGTTACTACAGGTTCCCGTGTTCCTGTGCTCTCTCGCGGTGATGCTGTTTACATACTCGCGAATTCTTCAGGCACTGCGCATCCGCATCGGACGCACACCTGTGAATCTCTCTTAGTCCCAGCCTGCGTTTGCTCTTGAATGAGTGACAATGACGTTACTGACTGATACTACTAGGGATGCACCAATATTAAAATCCAGATATTCAACTGGCAGATATTCAACTTTGATATTATTTTATCAAAATAAATTTCAAATAAAACAATAAAAAGCTTTAAATGTTTAGTTTCATATATTTTTATTATTTTTTATTTACTATATATATATATATATATATATATATATATATATACAGTATATATAAGGTGGAGCATGGCCAGTAGGAGTGGCTGGCGTTACTATGCCTGAAGGCACGTGGCGATGGTGTCCATAGAGACAGATGGCAGCTTCACTGGGGGCCACGGTTTGTCCCTCTTACAGGCTGAAGATAGCTTGGGGGCCGGACTCGCTCAGCAGGAGGGGTCGTGGCTCGGCTTCCGGGCTACGGTGAGTGCTGTGCTGCTGCTGGAGCTGCTCCTGGGAGTGGGTGGCAATCTGACCGTGCTGGTGTTATACTGTGGTCACTGCAGCCTGTTGGAGTCCGTCAGTCATGCCGTCACGCTCAGCCTGCACACCCTTGACCTGCTGCTCTGTCTCCTCTGCCTGCCAATCACTGCCACGCTCCTCATTCTGGGCGGAGCCTCGGTTCCTCACCACGCCCTTCTCTGCTGTCTCCATGAATCGGCAGCCAGCTTCGCCAGTGTGGGCACCGCACTTAACCTGCTGCTCATCAGCTTAGATCGCTATGACATCAGCGTCCGGCCAGCCAATCGCCTGCTGACACCTCGAAGAGCCACCATTTTACTTGTTGGAGTATGGGCGGTTTCTTTAGCCGTGCCGCTCCTACCATTCGTGGAGGCGGGGTTTGTTTCGGGGCAAGGCGCGGGGGTGTTTGTGCACTCCAATAGCACTGTGCTTTGTTCAGAGTGGGGAGGAACTCTACAGGCTCATCTGTTACTACAGGTTCCCGTGTTCCTGTGCTCTCTCGCGGTGATGCTGTTTACATACTCGCGAATTCTTCAGGCACTGCGCATCCGCATCGGACGCACACCCAGGCCCCACCGAGACAGCAAACGGCCTGTGCATCGTCTCTGGTTACGGCGTAAAAAGTCAACGAGGTCACCGGATCACACGACGAGAAACACACCCACCTCCCCACCGCAGCTTTCAACCGACCCGCTTATCACCTCAGATACAGTTACAACAGTAACCATCAACACTGAGACGAACACTCCCTCGCTCACCACGCCACTTAGCCCCACTCCTACTGTATCCGTGATAACCTCTCCTTTAAGCCCCACCCCCACTGCTTCAATGGTAACCACGCCTTTGAGTCCTGCCCCATCTGTATCCGCCATAACTAGCCCTCACATCCCCACCCCTGCTACATCATCAGTGGCCACGCCTTTGAGCCCCATGCCCACTGTATCCACAGTAACCACTCAGCTAAGCCCCGCCCCCGTTCAGGGTCCTCCCAGCATGGGCGTGGGAGCGTCAGTATCGGCCATTTTGGCTCTGCGTCGAGCAGTTCGGCGCCACCGAGATCGGCGGGAACGCCAAAGGCGTGTTTTTCGCATGTCCGTCATCATAATCCTCTCTTTTCTGCTATGCTGGGCGCCTCTCTCCATCATGCCCCTTCTCATGCTGGCCATCGGGCCATCTGATTGGCTAGAACGCCTGAGACTCTGCTTTCTGGTTCTTGCTTATTGGACGGTAGTGCTACATCCGCTGCTGTATGCGTTCACGCGGCAAAAACTGCGCAAAGTTCTGCATACCCGTCTGCGCAGGCTGCGGCCGCAAAACACGCAGACTCCCATTCGTGCTAATACCAGGATCCGCCGCAAGCACAGGGCGGATTGCAGCGATGCTACTGACCGCTGCCTGACAGAGGCTGTTAGAGAGTGAGTGTTTGTGTGTCTGTGACTTATAACTAGGCTCACACGGAATCTGAGTGCGCATTCACTTGTGTACATCTGTCTTTTCTTGTTTTTTTATTAAATATTTTGGATAATTTAATTATGCTTTCAGCTGCTAATATGAGTATGTTCAGCTCCATTTAACATATTTCACCATGTTTAAATCCAAGGCCGTAACCATATTTTAAACATTTGTAAGAGACTTAAGGGAACAAAGAAAAAGAAAGAAGAACTAGAATTTATTGTAAAGTAATCTCTTTGAAGTATTTGCAAATAATATTCTATTTTATTATTAATAGGCACACATTCACTTAAAGAGGTCATATGATGCGATTTCAATTTTTCCTTTCTCTTTGGAGTGTTACAGGACGTCGGCGTTGCGCATGCGCCGCTCAGAAGTGTCGAACGCGGAAGCGCAGGGAGTGATCAAATCAAAACAACGGTCACAAATTAGAAGTACAAAATTTATAAAGAAGAATTTCGGAGGATTTCGATATAAGCCAAGAGGAGACTGGTTCTACAGGAGGCCATTGTTCACCCCCCGGAGCCATGTGTGACACTTTTTTATTATGGATGGATGCGCTTTATTTAACTTCTTTGGGACTGATGAACTGCAACACCCGCTGACAGCCATTAAACAGCTTGGAAGATCAAAGTCAATTTTTTATATAACTCCGACTGGATTCATCTGAAAGAAGGAAGTCATATATGCCTAGGATGGCTTGAGGGTGAGTAAATAATGGGCTAATTTTCATTTTTGGGCGAACTATCCCTTTAAGGCACTGGTACAGAAAGGCACGCAAGCCTTTTAACAGACAAACACCATATTTTCAAGCTTTCAAATAATGCACATATGCGCGTTTGTCTACACACAAATCTGTGCGGACATGAAAATCAGGACATCAGCGGACAATGCTAATGGCGAAAATTGCGAAAATCCCAACTGATCTCATGGGAAAATGAGGTGAATTCATTCAATGTGAATCACGTGAAAATGTATGATTTTCAGAAAAAAGGGAAGCATGAAGGCCCACCCTTAAAAAACTACGAATGAGTATAAAATGTACAAATTCGCTACTAAATTGCCAAAACGAGAAATAGATACGAATTTCCATGAAATTTTTTTTCAAATACGCTAAAATATACTTTAGGCTAAATCACCTGCCTAATATGCTGAAAACAGCTCCGTTAATGTTTCTTGTCTTGTCACATTCAATTATGATTTACATGAATCAAGTAAATATGATTCATGAATCAGGTAAATAGGCCTGTATGTTCAATTCAAAACATTTCTGTCATAAAACAGTTGTTGATTATTCGTTTAGCTTGTTAGCTACTTATGTCTTCATACTCTTTCACCTCTAAAACTGAAGCATTGTGGTGGAATTCGCATTTGTCTTCTGTTAACAATAAAACCTTCTTTGATTTGATTGGCCATATCAATTATTTTGACATTGATGAGCACTGTTAGTCCCCTGAGGCAGACTAGTCTAAAAATGTAACTTTTTGTCATCCTACCAACAAACCAAAGAGTGTGTAATGGAGCGCAGCAAAACAGCATCAAGGATATCAAATACTGAGGTTGGCAATTTGGCCATATCTGATTATTGAGGGGACTTTTGATCAGATTTCTCCCACAAATCTGTTCAGAAAATGTCAAAGAAAAAGAGAAAGTCAGCAGATTCCGCCTGGGCCTATTTATGACTGTAGGTAAAAGGTCTGTGCAGGAAACCATTAATGTGTTAGATGTGTTAGATGATAAGTGTGACTCGCTCACCTCTATAAAGGAAATTAAAAGACATTGGTAGGTCTCTATTGTCCACGAGTGTGTAGTATCATTGGCAACTAATCAGCACAGGGTTTCTAAAGCACATTGAACTCTGAGGTCAACAGGGCACTGTCTAATTAACCAGTAGAGCACAAATATTCCCATGGTGCTAGGGGAAAAGAGCGAGATTGAGAGAGCATACCTACAGGTGTGAGTCTGCCAGAGGCCATGTGCAATAAAATCCAAATCCAGGTTATGCATCGCATGATTTCCATATAAATTAATACCAACTTATTGGCATTCATTGTGTGGTGTAACGAGTACCCGTCTATCCACCAGTACACATACTTGTGCACATATTTTACATTGTCCTTCTCACTGATAGTCTAGAGGGCAATAGATTTATCATTGTGTTTATTAATTTATATGATCAGGGATGTAAATAGTCACTAATATTCCTGTGGTTTGAAACGGCAGCCAATCTGAATTCGGCTCTACCAAGGGCATGCATACTGGTTCGATCAGTTTCTGAAAATATCGACAAAACAACTTTTACAATTTCAAAATTAATTTATTTTATTTGTGTCCCGTATTTGTATATCTTGTCAGTGCTGTATATTATTTCAGTTTGAGATGGGTATTGTATTACTTTACAATAGAGGAGCAATAAGTCTGAATTACAATAATAAAAAGATTCAGCCTCTTTGCTTGTTTGCTTTGTTTGTTCCCAACCTCAGCAGTCAAAATTCATACCTCTTATAGAAAAGCATATAACATTTCATGTGTACATATTTTATTTTATTTTTTATAATGGCAGAAGTATTACTTTTATTTATACTATATTTATACTTTTACTTACAGAGCGAAGACGCAAAAACTAATCTGTATTTTGATTCATCCTGATTAAAAAAGTTTGCTGTTCTGAATAATTAACATCAGTCTGAGCCACTTGCTCTGATAGTTAATTGGTGTATGGTAGTGTCTTTTCATTACGTGAATTTATTAAGAAGTGCAGGCTGCTTTAATATATACAAATAGTCCATGCTGAGAAAGGTTGACTGACTTCATCCCAGTTGATAAAAGTCAAACAGGCAATTAAGAACCTCCTGTGTCTCTGTCAGCATTTGCAGTTTCACACAGAAGATCAAATGCCATATGAGGGATACTCAATAAAGTACCTGCTCAATCAGTGAAATGGTAGCCATTCAAACTCTCTCTGCCTGATTCAGAGACCTTAAATGTTATTAATCTTTAAAGAGTTGGTTTCAGCCAATATGTGTGTAGAGAATGGGAGACTATCATTCCTCATTATCGGTGATAGAGGCTACACTCCAC